CCTCTGGCCTGTACCCCAGTTCTGTATGCAGAAATAGATAAATCTTTAAAAAACTATAAAGATCAGAAAACGTTCTGGCCACTCCCCAAGTGCTGCACCTGGTGAGCTGAGTGGCCCCCTCAGGTGGGGTCAGCTCCCCTAGCCTGCTCTGTATTCAGCCATCACCAAGTAGCTGCCATCTGGACCTTTGATGTGGGTTTAGGGCAGCTCCCCAGAGAGTGACGAGGGTGCCCCAATACCCCAGCTGGTACAAGGCCTCTTGAGGTGCCCCACCCCATCTCATATGTGGGGGCAAAGCCCCCTACCCTCCCTAGTTTAGCAACTTCAGCCCATTCACTTTTGTCCAAAACCTTCAGGGTTTTATATCTCTTAAACAGGCTACCGGATGCGTGAAAAGCACCCAAATCACCCCTGCAGGGACCAGGAACTCTCACCTACAGCCCTGGTCTTCTTGTGCCCTGGATGTGGGCATGAAACAGACCCAAGTAGGTGTTGGGCTTTGAAATCCCTGTAGAAAATCCAGAAAATTTGGACACAAGTGTGAATTCAATCTAGACGGGTTTACTAGGCCAATGTGCATCCAATTCCAATGATGACAGATCGCAGAGGTGGGCTCTAGGTGAGTCGGGATAGCTGTGACTCCCTCACACTGTGTCGGAGACTGCTTGCACTGTGTGCTGTGGGAGCTGCCAGGGTAAAGGAGGCAAAGGAGACTCAAGACCAGCCCAGTGCTACCCACCCGACCTGCCGGAGGTGGGGTGGGGGTAGGGTAGACCTCGTGTTCAGGTGAGCTTGAGTCCCACCAATGAGTCTGTGTGACCTTGGGTCCGTCCCTTGCCCTCCCTGAGTCTAAGTCTCATCACCTGTAAAATTAACTTGGACAGCAAGGTTTCTGCTAACCCAGGGTGGTATGGATCCGTGAATTACATTGCATTCCCAAACAGGGGGTTCCTCTCGCCAGCAGCACTTGCAAGCAGAGACCTGAACTATAACCGCCAGGAACCAGAGACCTAAACCTTTACTTTTTAGCCTCACCTGCATGGTGTTAGATGGCCCAGGAATCAGCCTGAACACAGGCGAGATGAAGACTCAGCCTGAACACAGACGAGATGAAGACTCAGCTTGCAGCTGGCACTTTCTGTTGTGCATGGAGGTGCTAACACCTCCCAGGAGCAGACCACATCTCCAGTTGACAGGGCGCCCCCAGGCCTCCCACCTGCAACCCTCCCCACCCCACACTGTGGCACTCAGGGCTCCCCGGGCTGCACAGAATGCTCACACTGGGATTCGCAGCTGCCACGAGCCCCCCAGCTGTCTCAGGGGCAGGGCCGGTGCAGCTGGGACCTGTGTGGGACACACAGAACCTGGAGCCTCTGACCCCCCATGACAGAAGGGTCAGTAGGGCATCCCTCTGGCAGAAAAGAAAGGTCACAGAAAACACCACCCCGAGTCTCTTCAGCCACTCACAGACTCCCAGCACCTACAGCATCTCCACACCTGGACAGGTAGGCTTCTCCAGAAACACTTTGATAAAAAGCAACAGAAACATAAAAGAAAGTCAACACTGTGCCGTGGCCTGCACCCCTGTGTAGCTCAGACCCTGCAGCCACCCTCCCCCCACCCACAGCGCTGTGGCCTCCCTGGCCGGGGCTCTGTCCCCGACACGCACGCCAAGGCCTTACGCACCACAGTGTCTTTGCGCTGGCTGTGTCTCTGCCACAAATTCTCTCCTGTCGGCTGCCATGCAGCCAGCCACTCCATGTCTTTCCGCTCTCTCACTCCCAATGTCCTTTCCCGAGGGGGCCCCTCCTGACCCAGCCACTCTCAAAACCAGGCTCCCTTCCCCTCCCCGACTCCAGACATTTCTTACTACATGTATCACTACCTGATGTCACCTGGCCCGTGGGTGCCTGTTGGCGGCCTCCCCCCCCCCCCCAGAAAAACCTCCAGGGAGGCAGAGAACCTGCCTGTCTTGTCCCAGGGCTGTGCCGTGGCCGGCAGACCAGGCTTCAGAATCGGGAAGACCCTTGACCTTGCCTGCGGCAGCTGGCCACTGAACTCCTCTGGCCTCAGTTTCTACATCTGGAAAATGGAACCAATAAAAGTATCCACTTGCGGCGGCGGCGGCAGAAAGGGGTGGCGGGGTGTCCCAAGGAACTCAGACGAGAACCTGCTCCCCACTATCTTCCTTCCAGAATTAAGATGATCTGTGACTTCGGTTTTCTCTCCCACAAGGAAAGGGGTGGGGCCTTACCTCCCTGCCTCTTGCCGCAGGGACAAGGGAGTCTGCAGGGTCTTTGCTGCCATGAGCCTGGGTATCTCCTGGCAAAGATGAGCACGACACACAGATGCGGGACTTATCATCATTATCACATAAAAATTACAATTATTCACCCTCCTCGGTGGTCCCCAAGTGCCACTGCTGCAGCACTTAGCAGAGGTAATTATTGCTGCGGGAGACTGTGGATACACACGTCTGCGCCGGGACAGTGGGGTCGCCTCAGGGCAGCCAGAGCCACAGCGGGACCAGCACCCTCCGTCCAGGGCGCCCAGGGTCCCCAGAGTCCCGCCTGTGTCCAGGGTACGGGGGTCCCTCTAGACTGTCAGGAGGGAAGGGCCTATAGGCGCTGAGAACCATGATCTTCTGGGAGCCACTGGGCCCCGGAACCAAGCGTGGCGCCTTCCTACGGACAAGGCTGGGGACGGCCTCGCTGGACAGCCTCACTCCAGACTCCGCCTCTGGTCCTTCTGGGGCTTCCCTGGAAATCTGAGTCGTGGCGAGATAGGAAGTCATTTCCCAATGTACATGAGAGTTTCAGTCATCCACAGGCCACTTAGGGTTTCTACATATTGGTGTTGTATTTGGGGAAACCGTTGGTTTCCCTAAGGCTGTGTTTATACAGCACTTTATATGAGACTCAAGAAGTCAAGTGTCCCTTTCAAAGGTGTGGGAGGGCCTGGGTGGAGAGGGGTGGAAGCAAGAATCCCCAAGAGGTACCTTCAGAACCCAGAAATGACTCAACCAGCTCATCACAGTTCCAGGCTCCCCGGGACAGGGCCAGCACCAGGCCCAAGAATCCCGTGTGTGCAGACAGGAGGGGGCCACAGGGCTCTGCCTGTGTCTTATTCCTGACCCCTTTCTTGGTCTTTAAGCCATAGAATTTGCTCTTGGCTATAACGTACCAGACCTATGTCCAGTTCTCTTGACAAAAAAAAAAAAAATTTATTCCAGAATCTTCTCCCAGGAAATTCTCCCTGCCTGCTCCTGGCCAATCCCAAGAACACCACAACATCGCCATTTATCTGCTGTGAGGCCCAGAGCAGCCGAGGCGATGCACTGTCGGAAATCTGTGCCTCCGAGGCAGAAAAAGGTGAGGAGCAGCACCTGTGTAGAGCCCAGGAATCCACGCACAGTAGGACTGCACCTCATTCCCAGAGACGCTCACGTCACTCCCACCATCCCTCTGGCCTGGCCCCACAGTTCTCCTTCCCTTCCCGGGGTGGCAGGGGAAAATGGCCGGTACCCTGGCAGGGCTCCCTGTTCCACCTCAAGAAACACAGAGGGTGGAATGTTCCAGAACACATGGGTACAGTTGCCGCTCCCCTGGGGAAGGCCAGTCTCACGCGTCGCCCCTACCTGGGGCCCTCAGCAGGGATGTGACGCTAGGCTGGGCCTGGGGAAACGTGTGAGCATCCACGCGGCAGAATTCCTACCATCAATGTAGCAGCTAAATATTGTACGACTCCTAACTCCCCCATCTGTGTTTTGCCTCCCAAGACGGAAAATAGTCTTCGCAGACATTCCCTTATCTGGCAGGCAAATTCTAAACCTTACTGGCAACTGCAGGCTTGTTTTCCCAACCAAACAGCTATGGAACCAAAAATTGTTCCTGCCTGTGATATGCTGAGAGGGTTCTAGCCAAGCGGCTCGGTCTGGAAGCCCAGGCCGGGAAGCCGGCTGTGTGCGTGGCCAGGGGCGCCGGGCTCTGCCGAAGGCCGGGCCTCCAGGCCTCCAACAGAGCTTCACGGCTGCTGTTCGCTGCTCCTTTTCTCAACACGGAGTACACCCACCACGAAGCTGATGGAAACACTCACCGCAGTGTGAATCAACACTTTCTAACCCAAATAAAGAGGGTTCAGAAAAAGGGAACGCGTCCAACCTTCTCGCTGCAGGTTTCTCCCACGAGGTAACCGGCCCACATGGCCCCGGCCCCGGGCCCCTGCCCAGGCATCCGGGCCCTCACTCTCCACTTTATGGTACCCCCCCACCCCGTGTTCCCCAGCCCTCCCCCGTCTTAGTACCGGAACCCTGCCCCTGTGCCACTGCTAATAAACCAAATCTGAGGATAGTGTGAAAACCTAATTGATAGGGGCCTTTATCAACCGGCCTTGATGCCTATCTGAGGTTCTCAACAGCCAAGATTTAAATGTTTCATTTTATTTTTAACTTTCACTTTTCCACATTTCAGCAATGTCAGGCAAAGAGGTATGGTTTTACTATCAGAAAGAATCATGGTGCAGAATAATTTATGACTTCAGCTTGGGCTTTCAGAAAAGCTATTTCAAATCTTCACTTTGATTTGGTTGTATCAAAACTACTCAAAATAACAGCGGCACTTTCTTGGAACCAGAATATGTTAGCAGCACCTCAGGATTTTGAACTAGAGCCTCGTATTTATCCCAGAAGAAAACTTGAGAGAGGAATTAAGCCCCAGAAGGGAAAAGAACTTATTTTTTTCTGATCCCTCTGTTCCCCACCCCACCATCCCAAACACACCCAAACCACAAGCCCGTCTGTCAAAAGGATCTGTGAGCACCTGCTCACCCAGGCCTCCCGACAGGTAGAGGAACCCTGCCTAGACACAGGCGAGGCCGGGAGGGAGCCCCCGGTGGGGAGGAGCGAGAGAAGGCTGCCGGCGTGGGGTTCGTGTCAGGTCAACCCGACAAAGCAGGAGGAAACGATGAGTGTCCAAAGCAAAGAGTCAGATGGTCAGACTTAC